CAGCCGGGGCTGGCACCACCCCCGGGTCATGGGCACACAGTAGCCAGGGCTGGCACCACCCCGGGGTTCGGGGCACCCAGCAGCCGGGGGGCCCCAGGCGGGTCCCTGCCCCCCGTGCCCCCATCCCAGGACAATCCAGCAGGACCAGGAGCTCCGGAGCTCCTGCTCCATCCCTGGCCGGGGCCCTGGTGACGGCCACGACGCAGTGACAGAACTGCCCGGGAGTGCCAGAACCGCCCAAAGTGATTTTGAGCAGTGGAAACTCAGCCCTGAGTTATGTTTTTAGATGTCACAGAGCGCACAGACAGGGCCAGGGGCGCACGTTCACAGAGGGAAGGACGGTGGCACTGACCTTGTCTGACGAAGGTCTGGCTGGTGTCCAGCAGGATCTCACAGCCCTCGATGATCATCCTCTCTATTGCCAGGTTCTTCCGAATGTTTTCAGTCTCGCTCACTTCATCGTGCATTATCCTGAAGGATGGAGAGGGGAAAATCCCAGCTGGGGTGGGGTCTGCACAAATTTTCCCAACCCCTTTGGGCGTGCGGTGAGGCTGCACCAGGTAAAACCAAAACTGAAGGAATATCGAGGGAATTGCAGCAGTATCCACCCAGCCAGAGCCAGGAGCTCCTGTGACCTGAACTGACCCAGACTGTGCCTCCAGTATGATAAATACTGAAATGTGAGTGCTTGGAAATCACAAAATTCAGATTTAGGGCAGACAGACCCCCCATCACCAGCCCCCTGTGATATCCCTGCTGCTCGAGGAGTGGGGAAAGGGATGGAAACTCTTTAGAGAACTTTAGAGAAGTGTGCGGGTGTGTTTGGCACTGACATCCAGAACACTCCAGTCCATGGGCTGGGGAGGAAGAGGATAAAACCCAGGCAATTATGGCCAATTCCCAGGTGCTCATGTGGAGACACTCGGTGCCTTCCCACGGGGCAGCCCCACCAGCCCTGAACAGAGCACAGCACCAGACACTGGGAGCCATCCCAGCCTCCAAAGCCCTCATTCCATCGTCCAGGAGCCCTGGGAAGCCCTGCCCCTGGCCAGGAGCAGCCAGGACCCGTCCCACAGCCAGGGATGGATCAGCAGCTCTCACCTGGACAGCTCCTCCAGCTTGGACTTGGCGTAATCCAGGCTGTTCCTCTCCACGTGCTCGTGGGGCGTGTGAGCCAGCAGCTCGTGCAGGGTCAGGATGTACCTGGGGATCTGCAGAGGGAGAGACAGAGAGGTCAGAGGGGCACTGGGGACAGCAGGGACCACCCTGGGCTGCTCCTGCCATGGCAGGGACACCCTGACCTGAGCAGTTAAAGCCCCAAAGCTCCTTGTGCCAAAGCTGAATGAAGAGGGGGAACAACGCGGGGCTGTGCCCAGCACCCTGCTGGTCCCTGTCCCAGTCGCAGAGGTGTGGGATAACTGGGGAGGCAGCAGCAGTGATGGCCCAGGCAGGTCCCAGGACCACCAAGGTCCAGCCCTAGGCCACCTCCTCGCAGGCTTTGCCTTCCCACCATCCAGTGCCAGCTGTGGGCGTGGGGTTTGCACGGCCCGTGCCACCTCCCTCAGCACCCCTGGGGCCTGGATGCTCACCTGGAACATGGGGTAGGTGAGGAAGGTCTCCAGGGTCCTCTCCTCGCAGTCAGGCTTGGCCTCGTAGTGCTTGAGCAGCTTGTCAAAGTCCCGGTTCTGCTTGCAGTGCGCCAGGATCTGCAGGCTGTACTGGTGGTTCCGCACAAACTCCTGGTAGATGTTCAGCATGGGCAGCAGGATGTCGAACAGGTCAGCTGCAGGCAGAGCAGGGCAGTGGGTGGGGGGCTTCAGCCCACAGCTGGGGGCCAGCACAGCCCCCTGATCCCCCCCTGGTCCCCCTCACCCCCCCAGGGCACCCCGAGGTGCTCCAGTGCCCCCAGCTCTGCCCGGTTGGAGTTTGAAGAGGCTCTGATGGGACACAGAGATGCTCTCCAGCAGGACATCCCTGTGCACGGCCCAGTGCCACCTCCCACCTCCCAGCAGGACCAGAACACCAGGATTTGGTCACTCTGGGGTTTTTACTCTGTGCCTGATGTGACCCAGCAAGGACACGGTGTGCAGTTGGCAAATGCCTGTGGAGCTGCAGGAGGAGGAGGAGGAGGAGGAGGAGGCAGCAGCACTCACCCAACACCAGTGTGGGCCAGCTGGAGATCCGTGCCTTCAGGCCTTGGTAGAAAATTTGGTGCAAAAACATGATGGTTTCACTGGAAGAGGAACCAAGACAAAGGACTAAGCCAAACCAAGAACAGGCAGATGAACGAGAGGTAAATAACGAGGAATCAGACAAAATCCCAGCCCAGGGCAGCCCCTTGGGCTGGCTGGGGGCAGCTGCTGCAGGCAGTGCAGAGGGACCTGGAGGCACAGGGTGAGGCACAGGGGAGGATGGAGCTGCAGAGCCCAGGGAGCCCTGGCACTGAGCACCCAGCACCAGCCGGGGCTGTTGGGATGCCCCAGAGCTGCAGGGATGCCCCCAGAGCTGCCAGAGCCCGGGCTGGAGCTCACCTGTTGAGGAAGATGCTGCTGACATCGTCGTGGGTGATGGGCGGTTTCTTGGAGCTGGCAGCCATGCGCAGCGGCCGCAGGAAGTTGTTGACGAGGATGTGGAGCTGCTGGACGTACTCAGCCTCGGCCTCCAGCATGCTGAACACCACCTGGTTCCTCTTGCGCATGCTGTCAGCGTGGGGGGACCTGATGTAGTCCTGGATGATGGTTTTCCACTTCCTCCGGCACAGCCAGCCCCGCAGGAAGCTCTGCACCTGAGGGAGCAGCGCTGCAGTTGGGGACAGCACCGGGGCCAGCAGGGACCTTCCCTGGCTCTGTGCGTGCTGCTCTGAGCCCTCCAGGCTGGGAACTCCACAGCTCATTTAAATTCCGGCACAGGCTGCCCCATCCCTGAAGCGTTCAAGGGAAGGTTGGAAGGGGCTTGGGGCAGCCTGGGATGGTGGAAGGTGTCTCACACCACGACAGGGAGTGGAAGGAGATTGAAGATCCCTTCCTTGTGTAAGTGGGCACCCACAGCACGTCCTGCTCTGTGCCCAGCTCTGGCTCCCAGGACAGGGGTGCCCAGGGCAGCTCTGCTGCTCCCTGTGGGAATGGTGCCAGGGTGGTGATGGCTTCTCCTTTGCCAAGATAAAAGCTGTGACAGCCACGGGAACACAGGTCAGAGGGGCTGGTGGTGCAGGAGCCATCCTCAGGACACCTCATGCTCCCAGGAACGCTGGGAGTGCCCTGCCAACAGATGGGCTCCCACTTGGGCAGAACACATTTTCCTCCTAAAAATCCCTGCTGACAGAAGCACTTGCTCAGACGCCTCCTTCAGCCCCCCAGGGGGAGCGTCTGCCGTGCCTGCTGGGCCCCCCCAGGTGCCACCCCTCACCACCACCCACCTTCTTGATCTTCTTGATGTCACTGTCATCGTCACTGGGTGCGCTGCTCTGGCTGGCCTGGATGCGCTCGTGGTCCTTGAGCAGGGACGCGATCTGTGGGGACAGGAGTGAGCACATCCCAGCCCTGCCCAGGGCTGAGGGCATCCCGGGGGATGAGGGCATCCCGGGGGATGAGGGCATCCCAGGACTGAGCACATCCCAGGGACTGAGCACATCCCAGAGACTGAGCACATCCCAGACTGAGCACATCCCGGGGGATGAGCACATCCCAGGGACTGAGCACATCCCAGGGGCTGAGGACATTCTGAGCTGTTGCTGTGCCAGGGAACAGCATGAGCCTCTGGCCTAATGACAGACACGGGGACAAATTGTGCTGGGTGTGTCCTAATGGCATCACAGACTCACAGAGTTCTTCAGGCTGGAAAAGCCCTCTGAGACCATCAGGTCCTCCCCATCACAGCACTGCCAAGGCCACCACTAACCCACCACTGTCCCCAAGTGCCACATCCACATGGTGTTTCAGTCCCTGCAGGGATGGGGACTCAACGGGTGGGTGAAGCAGAAGAAGAAACGTGGCAGAGCTGTCAGGGCTCCTCGAGCTGTCCCCAACTCCTCAGTACCTCTGAACCCCACCAGGACCTGGGCCTGGAAATCCTGACGGGTGCCCAACCCAAACCTCATCCCTGTTTCCCAAAAAATCCTTCACAGCAACTCAATACACACAACTTGGAGAGAAAATGGCAGGAAAATCTTGAGCATTTGGGCCCCAAAATGTGCAGGCGAGGAGCAGCCTCCAGCCCCTTCCCGCACATGTGGGATCGGAGCCAGCAGCTCCCAGCTCTGGCTTTCACTGTTTCTCCCTGTACTTTCTCTCCCTCCTCTGCTCATCCCGGCCCCCACGGCCAAAACCACTTGGAAAGTGACAGGAAAAGGCAAGAAAGCAGCACATGTGCCATCCAGAACGTGGGAATTGGGAAAATGTGATCTGGATTTTGATTTTACAGAAGAGAACAGAAGGAAACAGCTTGGAAAGAGGACTTTCCTGGGTGGGGGCAAGATGTTCCATTTTGGACAGAAAATAGGAAAAAAGGTGGAGTTTGGTGTCTGGACTGTTTGGAAAACGCAGGAACACACCAGAGCTGGTGGCCACAGGCTCATGGTCACTGATCCAGCTCCTACACATCTATTTCACCCCATTTCCTTAGATGGCTCAGAGGTTAGAGGAGATTTTAGAGTTTTTTGTTTTCCCCAACACATGGTCAGGGATTATAACTGACCTGCATACTTGAACCCTGACCTGCACACTGAACTTAAATTCAGAATTTAAGGAAAAGCCCACCATTAGGACAGGCAAAACCACCCTCACTGCCTCTTCTGGGGTGATGTTAAGGCTCTCAGTGATTTGGCATCAAGGTCTCAGCCCCACCAACCCACTCCTGGCTGTCCCCACCCCACTGCCCCAAGCCTTGCCAGCCACGAGGAGCAGAGCCCAGGCAGGGAGGGGCACAGCCCTGCAGGGCAGAGCCAGGCAGAATGGGGATAGCCCAGGAAACAGGGGGTACCCCCGTGCCAGCACCCCCTCAGCACCCGGCATCACCTTCAGCACTGAGAGCTCTCCCTCTGCCGAGCACCCCCAGTGCTCAGAGCAGCCCCAGAGCTGAGAGCATCACCCCAGTGCCCAGAGCATCACCCCAGAGCTGAGAGCATCACCCCAGAGCTGAGAGCATCACCCCAGAGCCCAGAGCATCGGCCCAGAGCCCAGAGCATCACCCCAGAGCCCAGAGCATCGCCACAGAGCTGAGAGCATCACCCCAGAGCTGAGAGCATCACCCCAGAGCTGAGAGCATCGGCCCAGAGCCCAGAGCATCACCCCAGAGCCCAGAGCATCGCCCCAGAGCTCAGAGCATCGGCCCAGAGCCCAGAGCATCGGCCCAGAGCTCAGAGCATCGGCCCAGAGCCCAGAGCATCGCCCCAGAGCCCAGAGCATCACTCCCAACCCCAGGCATCTCCCGAGCCTCCTCCTCCTCCCAGGGGCCCCGGGGACACGTGTGTCCCTCGGCAGCGTCTGCTGAGTCATCTGTGCACCTTGCTGCTGTCTGCGTGTGTCACCCGGCCTCGTGTCACCCTTCCCACACCCGACACCGAGGGAATTGCTGCCAGAGCTCCCGGGGCTCTCTGCGGGCAGGGCTGATCCCACAGAGCAGCGTGTGTGGGGTCACAGCATCTGTGGGGTCACAGCAGCAAGCACAGCAATCCCCTGGGATCTGGGCATCACGAGCTGCCCCCTGCCCCACTCAGAGCTGCCCCAGCTGTGGGACCCCGGCACCAGAGGGACGTGGAGCTGCTGGAGTGATTCCGGAGGGGGGGACAGGATGGTCTGTGAGGTCCTTCCAACCCAAACCATTCGGGGATTCTGGCATACAGCGACTGTTTCCCTCCCTCACAAGAGGCAAGGAACGCTCCCCAGTGCTCCTTGCTGGTTTCAACCCTTCAGCAGCTTCCCGGCTCCAGGGGTCCCCTCCAGCCCCCCACAGTCCTGGCTGGCACAGCCACAGCCTCTCCCTGCACCGCTCCTGCCAGGAAAATCCCCAAGTCAGGCGATGTCCTCACCCCTCCTGCGGGACAAGGGCCAGCCCTGCGACACCGCAAGAAGCAGAGCCACCCCAGCGGTGACACCATGGCTCTGTCCCCGTGGGGATGCCACCACCCCCCCTCCCCACGGGTCACCCCAGGAGCATCCACGGGGCAGCGCCGGGCGCTTCACCTCGGCCTTGAGGCGCTCGATCTCGATCTCCCCGTCCTCGATCTGCTGCCGGAGTTGCTTGGCAACAGTCTTCTCCGTCTCCACGATCTGCAGGAGATGGAGGTACTTCTGCATCAGCGCCTCGTGCTCTGTCGCCAGGTTCCTGTAGCTGCAGCAGACACGGCCGTGAGCGTCCCTCCCCCGCAGCCGCTGCCCTGCGCCCCGGCATCGCCCCCGACATCACCCCGACATCGCTTCAGCATCGCCCCGACATCACCCCGACATCGCTTCAGCATCGCCCCCGACACCACCCCGACATCGCTTCAGCATCGCCCCGACATCACCCCTACATCACCCCTACATCACCCCGACATCGGCCCTGACATCGCCCCGGCATCGCTTCAGCATCGCCCCCGACATCGCCCCGATTTCGCCCCAGCATCGGCCCGGCACCGGGGGCTGCGGTTTAGCAAGGGCTGCTCCTGGCCGGGCCCGGCTCCCAGAGCAGAGCAGGGGCAGCTCCTGCAGCTGGGAATGCTGCAGGGAATGCTGCTGCTCCCTAAGGACACACCTGGGCAGGACCTGGGCTCTCACAGGGAGCAAACAGAAAGGACAGAGCAAACTTTGCTGAAATCAGAGTCAGAACAGACCCCCAGACAGCCGTGGCCAAACCTCTGTAACCTGCCACGTTCCAAGAGTTTAAGGACGTGTGGCACGAGCTCCTGCGAAGTCCTGCTGCTGGCCGGGGCTGCAGGGGAGGGGGTTTGGGGGTTTCTCCCATTCCCTGCCCACAGCTCGCTGCCAGCTCAGCACCTTCCTTCCCCAGAGAGGGACCTGCCCTGTGCTGGCTCCTGGCTGCTCTCCATGGCTGTGCCAGCGCTCCCAGGGCACACACAGGAGCCTGGACAAACCCAGGAGCCTGGACAAACCCTTCCTGACCAGGTTTGCTATCCCAGGTGAATCCCTTCCCAACAGGCTGGCAGCCTGAGGGTGAATCGGGCATCCCAGGCGGTGCCAGGCTGGCCGGTGCCATGGGACCGGGATGGGAATGGGGAAGGGGAACCACTGAACACAGCCCCCACTCAGCACAGGGCTGCGGGACACAAGTTTCCTGCTCTGCCTGCTGGCAGTGTCCAGCTCATCCTGGCCCCCCAGGCACCCTCGGCACGGCTTCACCTCGACCCCCACCCACACGGGCACGGGGCACACCTGGCGTGAGCGATGGCTGCCACCCACTCGTCGCAGTCCTTGGCATCCTCGGTCCTCAGCTCCAGGGTCTTCTGGTTCTCGTGGTTGAAGTTCACGGTGAAGTAGTGCTGTGGGGTGAGCACAGGGGTCACGGTCACACCTCACACGGGGCGGGCACAAAACACTTCTGGCCCACCACAGGCTGGGCCACTGAAAATAACCAGGTTTGGAAACGCCAGGAGCTCGGCCTCGACCGGCTGCCCTCAGCACAGCCATGCCAGTGGAGACGGGAAACCTGCTGGGCAAAAACCCAGCTTCGGGAAAACCTAAACCCACCTGATGCCCTGAAACCCACCCAAGTCCAGGGCGCTGCAGTTCTGAACCTGGCCTGGGGACAGCCTCACCTGGGGAAGGGGCAGAGGAGCGGGGATGCTGAGCCGCACCTGCATCCCCACCCGCACCCGCAGGGCAGTGCTGGAGCTGCTGGCCTTGCAGGTGATTCCTTGGCGCTGCGGGCCCTGCCTGTGTGGAGCCCCTCGGGCACACCCCGAGCCCCGCAGCCCCCGGGAGGTGACACCGAGCACAGCCCGGGTCCCTGTGTCCTGCTCGAGGGGGGGGGTGGCCGCCGTGCGGGGCTATTTTTAGCCTCCCTTGACATTTGCAGTGTTTGTGCTAATTGTGCGCGGTGCCGCCGCCGGGTTTGTGCCGCTCCTCTGCTTCCCCGCAGTCTCCAAGGAAACAGGTACCACGCTGCAGTGCCGGATACTGCCCGGAATAACTGGGCTAAACCAAACCCACTGGAACGAGCTCATCCTGACATCATCTGCTCCTCTGCTGGGGTTCATGGGGGACCTGGATCCACAGGTGAGAACTGCCTGAAAGCCAAGGAGCAGCAGCCCGGCAGGACACGGGCTGTGCCACGTGTGCCGTGGAAACACCAAAGGGTTTGCAAACACCAACGCTCTTCCCTTCCTGACCCCGAGCAGGCCCGGGGGTGCTGGGGACAAGGACCCCGAAATGGGCACAGGAGGCTCAGGGTGAGCCCTTCATGATGGGGAGAAAGGGCACAGCCGGTGCAGCAGCACAGACAGAGCCAGCACCCCCAGCCCGTGCCCAGCCAGCGCTCAGGGCTCGGGGTGACACTCTCGGAGCTCACCCAGCCCCTCCAGAGGAGGAGAGGGGGCCGGGAGCCCACCCTGCCCATAGGCACAGCAGAGCCCTCCTCCAGAAACAGCTTTCACCTTTGGGGAGCAGCTGCAGGGCCCTGGTGAGGATGCAGCTCCCTCATTTCTGCCATGGCTCCTTTGAGTGCAGGATCGTTTGCTGCTGATCCTGTGGACAAGCTTTCTCCTCATGGAGCCATCCCCATGACCAAACACCATCACCCATCACACACCCCGGTGTCAAACACCACCGTCCATCGCCCATCCCTTGCCCAGCCTGCCATGCTCTGGCTGCCCAGAGCTCTGTGTCTGCGGGCGGGACACCTCTGGAGCTGCAGCAGCTCCCCAGCCTTTCACATCCCACCCCTTTCCCTCCTTCTCACTCCCAAAGACTTTGACTGCAAAGAACTCCAAGGGAAAATTCACCAAAAATCTGTGGTCCCTATGGGTGTTGTTCTGTCCCCCAGCTTTACACCCACCTGACATCCCTTCCCTTGCATCAAGAAGAGCTCATCAGGTTGGCAAGGCTGGAAATGCCCCTCTGAACACCAGCGAGGTTTGGGGGAGCCCCTTCCAGGCCCTGGTGCCCCCGGCAGCTCCCGGGGCCACAGAACCAGAGAGCGCAGCGTGCACATCCCCCCTCCGTGATCCAACACCAACACCTGAGCTCGGCTGGGACTGGAGACACGGGGAGACACGTTCAGGAGCCCCCCAAACTGCTCAGGAGGGCAGCAAGCCCCGGGCTGTCCTTCCCAAAAGCGGGTGTGTGCTCCCGGGGATGGCACAAACGGTGCCCTTTGTGCTGCTGTGGGTGAGTGCCCCCGCTCAGAGCCCAGCACAGCCTGGGTTAGAGCGTCCTGACCTTCCCCAGCACCCCGGGAAAGCAGCAGATTCGGGGCTGGCCCGAGGTTCGAACCAGGGGTGCAGAGCCCAGGACAGGAGCTCGGGCAGGGACCTGGGGCAGGTCGTCTGGACAGTGCCCACCCTGCCCCTCCTCACCCACCTGAGGCACCTCCCACACATCAGCACCTGGCCCAGGTGATCCGGTTTGTGCCCAGGAACTCCTGAGGCTTTTGTCAGTGCGGTTCCCAGGCTGGTGGCAGCACAGTGATGATGAGGAGGGTGAGCCCCCGTGGCCAGGCTGCAGTCAGGGCTCCTCCATCCCCTGCTGCTCCTGCCATCCCAGCCGGGCTCCTGCACACACCCCCCGCTCCATGTGCCGCTCCAGTTGATCCCCACACAATTCCCAGGAAGTGCAGCGTGCTGGCAAGGAGGAACTTATCTTATATTGGAATAATAAAACTCCCACCACCGTTTATCTCCGCCTAAAAGATGATCCCTGTCTGCCATCACAGTGACACATCCACCAACAGCCCCAGAGCGCTCCCCAGCACCCGCCGGGGCTGAGGATCAGGATCTGGCACAGGAGCAGAGCCACGGGTGACACCAGGCGGGTGCTCATGGCACAGGGAGCACCAGGATGAGCCCCCAGCTCCATCACAGCGTCCCTGGGGCAGTCTGTGCTGCCCAGGGCAGGGCACAAGTCACCCACAGCGTCACTTTGCTTCTCCTCACACCCATTATTTGTCCATTTATGACCTCAACAACTCCCGGGACTGGACCCTCCTCATCCCAACCCCTCGCTCTGCTCTGGCCAAAACCAGCAGAGGTGAGGAGAGGTGAGGGAGCACCTCACTGGGGGTGTTCTCAACCTGCCCTGTTCCCACGGCGCCCCCTGAGCCCCCGGAGCCCGGCACGGAGGGACGTGTGTCCGTCTGTCACTGAGGGATGTGTGTCCGTCTGTCACCGCAGGACACACAGACCCCGCACCCCTGGGGGATGCCCGGGTACCCGGAGCTCGGGGATTTCCCTCGGGGAGCCCCAGGACACACAGAAATTCTGCCCGAAATAACGCGGGAGGGATCCGGGTCACCAAGGGACACATCAGAGCACCCCCGGGCCACCAGAGCCCTCCGGGTCACAGCCACCCGGCTCGCCCCGGGCCACCAGAGCCCTGTGACCACCGGCCGGGTCCCCCCGCAGGCCCTGCCCGCTGCAGGGGGCGGGGGCGGTACCGAGGCCCTGACGTGCAGGAAGAATCCGAAATAAATCCAAACCAGCTTTAAAGCGAGGCGTTGTTTCCAGAGTAGAAAATCAAGCTCTCACAGAATTTTTCGGGGTTGGCAGGAGGGCGTTTCCTCAGCCTGAACAAGCCAGCAGACCCTTTGGGATGCTGTGGTCGGGGGTGGGTGCTCTGCCAGCACCCCCACGCTGGGCACCGCCGGTGTGAGCGTGGGGGGACCCCGAGAGAGCCCCCCCAGGGGCGACTGCCACCCTTTCCTGCCTTTGCTGTGCCACCACGGGGGTCCTTCCCCCCCAGGGAAGCCCCTCGGAGCCGCTGCCCTCCGCCCTCCCGCAGTGGGCAGATCCACACCCGCCTGTTTGTGAAGCTGATGGTGATTCCAGCTGACACAAAGGGCAAGAGGAGGAGAATTTTCCTGCTCTGGATGGATGAGTCTAAAAATCCACAGCCAGCCATGGCAGCTTTTAACATCCCTGACCTACATACTATGTGCTCTGGGAAAACAGGACCTCAGAGTTGGATGCTCCAGCAGCTCATTTCCGTGCTGACAATAAGAAAAAATATCCCAGAGGCTGCAATTTCCCCTCTTTGTTTCAGTACGGGCTGTCAGGATATTTGGAAATGGATACTAGAGGTGAGCATCATCCTTGTGGAGCAGGCTCTAGAGTCATGCGCAGAAATATTCCTAAAATAATCAAAATAAATCAATTTTTCCCTGATTTTATCCAGTGATGCTGGCAGGCGGGCATGCAGGCATCACGGGGACCAGCACTGAGCATCCCCCTCACTCAGAAATCCCCACATGGCATCACGCAATACACTAATTAATTAAAAACCCGGTGTCACCCCAACACTGATGGATAGTTCAGGTTTAAGCCCACAAATTACGATTTATAGTCTCCAGAAAACCAGATTGCCTGGAATGACATTCAGGCAGAAGAATTCTCACTGCCCCACATGGCTGATGCTCACGGACCTGCAGCCAGTGCTGGGATCTGGGGATCCAGTGCCTGGGACATCAATCCCAAAGTCTGGAAGAGCTTGGGAGCCGCCCTGCTCGGGATATCCATGGATGATCTGCCTGGTCCTGCTCCACTGGTGGGGTCTGGCCCCTCTGAGCACCCCCACAGCCCTTTTGGGGGTACCAAGGTGAGCCCCCCGCAGGGATGGGTCCCCAGTGCTGCCCCTTGGAGAGCTGCCCGAGCTCCGGCACTGCCAGGAACGGCTCCAGCAGCTGGGCTGGGCTGGGCGAGCTGGGGCTGCTGGGCTGGCAGGGGCTGCTGCAGGTCCTCAAGGCATCCAAATATCCCAGCACGGCCAGGAATGGGGGCCACAGGACTGGGAGAACTCGGTGCTCCACGGCCCCATCCCTGGAAAACGCTCTGAGGTGGGGAAGGAAATGCCCAGCACGGGCAGGAGCAGCCCCAGCTGGGGGAGCCCAGCTCAGCTCCCGAGGCACAGAGCCTGGAGCCAAGGGCTCTGGGGGGCCATGCCTGGCCCAGCACCACGCTGCCTCTGTCCGGGGGCTCCTGCTCAGGAGCAGCCCACGGCACTGGGATGTGGGGCTGGAAGCTGCCCAGGGCAGTGCTGGACTCCCCATCCCTGGCAATGCTCGAAAGCTGTGTGGATGCAGCCCTTGGGGCCATGGAGCAGGGGCAGCCTTGGCCGTGCTGGGGGAATGGAAAAGGACTGAAAGCCCTCAGAGGGCTCTTCCAACCTCAGTGATGCTGTGATCCTAAATGCAGCTCCAGGCTGGATCGGTGAGCAAACCCAGCTGTGATTCCTGCCTGAGCCAAGGGGAGCCCTCGCCCCACGCTGGGGCCTCCCCTGTCCTTGGGGCTGGCCCGGGTCAGTTCTGCACCTTGAACCTGCTCAGCTCCTCTGCCAGGACCTCACCTTGGCCGTGCCCCTCCCACCTGGGGCACCCCACAGCCTGCCCACCGCCTGAAAGCGCATCCCAGCACCTCAGGGGCTGGAGCAGCAAGGCTGGGGGGTGGCACAGCCCAGACCCCACAACAGGGGACAAGGGGGTCCCTCCCAGCCCAGCTCCCCCCAACATCGCTGCCCTGAGCAGCCAGGCCACAGCCTCCCCAGCCCAGCCCGACCCCCCAGACCCTTCCCCAGGCCACAGCCTGGCCTCACCCAGCAGGAAATTATCTTCCCCATCCAGCTGGTTGGAAAGAAAATCCATTTCTGGAAAAAACAAAACAAAGTTTCCAGAGGCAGAAAATCCCGCTTGGGCGTTCCAGTTTTCCACATGTCTTTGCTCCCTTATTCTCACATAAACCAATGCTAAAATTCACTTGTTCCAGGAGAAAAATCACCCCAAAGCAAAATATGTGTACGTTAAAAGAGAAGGTTTGAAAGCCCCACCTCTTAAAATTTCTCCTTTGCAGAGAATTGGGAACCTTTCAGGCTCCACTCCAGGAAGGAAGGGATCCAAACCTGGAGCTGCTGTGCTGCAAGGAGCACTGTCCTCAGAGCTCCAGCTGGATCTGCACAGACAGATAAATACCCTCAGAACACAGCTAATTGGGACCAAGGCAATGCTGGAAATTTCCTCTGCACCTTCCCGTGGAGGCACGGCCGGGGCTCAGGTGAGCCCGGAGCCGAGGCTCTCCCTGGCATGGGGAGCTCAGAGCCTGCCCAGAGCCCCGAGTGCCACCTGGCCGGCCAGGCTGCGGATCTGCACCATCAATATTCGCCGCTTATCTCATCCCCGGGCCATTAATTAGCTTGCAGAGCAGCGGGATCCAGCGCTCCTGCTCCCAGCCCCGTTTGGCCGAAGGAATTACACAGAATTCCAAGGCAGGCGTTGAACCGCCGCAGATCCACGCGGGGCAGGGGCAGGGGATGTGTTTGCCACGGCAGGAGCAGCCCCTCGCTCACGGCCAGGATCAGCACCCTGCGTGCATTTCGAGCTGCAGAGGGGATGTGACACCCTCCCCACAGCGTGTGCGTGGTGCAAAATCCCTCCTGCACAAACACGAGGACCCAGAGCCTCGATTCCAAGCTCGATTCCAGCCTGGCTGCTGAACTTCACGGAGCTGAACTGGGAGCACACAACATCTGTTACTGAAGGGACAGCAGTGACAGCCACAGCGGTGTGACCCCTTGCAGCTACAAACCCCCCCCTTGCTGCCACAGCCCCCGAGATGCTGCAAGGAGCCCCAGCTGGGGAAAACCCACATTATTTTCCTCTTGACAATAGGAAAAAAAATGAAATTTCACAGGAAATTTGAAATTTCACAGGAAATATTCCTCTGCTGCCAGCCGGGAGGGAGGGGTGTGCCGGGGAGCAGTGGTGCTGCACGCCTGGTTCTCCTGGCAGGGTTTTCTAAGTGCCAGGAACAGCCACAATTAGGGGCCTGATGCCCTGGGGGTGCCCCTGGGCCCCATCCTGCGGTCCTATCCTGCCGGCAGCACTCCCGGCGCCTCCCCGAGCCTGCCAGGCAGGAATTATGCAAGCCCTGCAGAGCCGGACCCAAAACGCGCGGTGCCTCCCGCCCGTGCCCGGCCCGGGATGCGGCGCCGGGACCCCCCCGCTGCTCCCCCCGCCCGGGCCGCCGTGCCCCGGGCACCCACAGGGCACACGTCCACGCTCCACGCACCACCGGAGGGTCAGAGGGTGAGTCCGGCTGGCTCCTGTCCACGCCGATGGGACTGGGGGTGGCTCTGGAAGCCATCCACGGATGGGGATTTGCCCCCCGCAGCTGGATGTCCCCCCTCCCTGTTCCCACCCCATCTCTCCTGGCTGCTACGGCACATCCCAGCTCCAGCAAAATACCCCAGACAAACACGGCGGGGGCTGCCAAGGTCCATGCCCCGCTGCTCCAGGAATACCCTGCCCAGCCGGGAAAGGCACAGCCGGTGGGGACAAACCCACCCCCGGGGCCTGGCAGGGGCTGTGACCCTCACGGCTGGCACCACAGCACTCCTGGGGATGGGGGACTCCTGGATTTCCCCAGGGTCTCGAGGGGCTTTGGTGTTTGGGCGCTGATCGCCCGCAGCCATCGGCAGCGCCGGAGCTCCCTGGAGCCCAGCGCCGGCACGGGGGGCTCCGGGACCCGCACTCTGCTCTTCCCCCCGCCAGGGCTGGGGATGGAGGTGCAAACCGCACACGTGGCGAGGGGAACGGGGTGAAATCTGCCTGAAAACAAGGCCCTGAGCTCCCCGCGCTGAGCAGCAGCACCGACCACCGGCTGCGGGCACCGCCGGGCCGGGGGAGCTGCCGGGCAAACCGAGGGGCACGGAACGGCCACACGGGCTGGGAAACAGCGAGGCCGCTCCTCACGGGAGCCCCGCGGGCCCCTCGCTGCCCCAAACCCCGAACCCCAAATCCCGAACCCCAAATCCCGAACCCGCCGGGCCGGGGGGCGCGGGGCTCTGCAGCGCCGAGCGCGGCCGCTGGGAGGCGCCCCCCAGCCCCGCGCTAATTACCGGCGGTTAATTAGATGGGAGGGGGAGCGGGGGTGCCCCGGACACCCCCACAATGAACCCACCCGCTGCTCCGGCACTGCAAGCCCGGGAATCATCCCCCTTCCCCCGCAGAGACCGGCCTCATCCTCTCCTCCCCACCCCGGCCACGCGTGGGGCAGGTCACGGGAAGCTCCGGGGGTGCGGGGCCTGGACCCCCGCGGGCCACCCTCCCTCCCCCTCCGCCGGGCCCCCCCCGTCGCCCACCTGCTTCTCCAGGGAGTCCTTAGCCGAGAGGGGGGGCTTGGGGGAGGGCGCGCGGTCGCAGACGCAGCCCTCGAGCAGGTAGAGCCCCGAGGGCCGGGAGCTGGAGTCGGTCTCGAAGTAGAAGAGCATGTTCTGGAGCAGCGCGAACCACTTGGTGTGCCATTTCGTGTTGTCGGCGCTCCGCTTGCTCAGGTATCCGCGCCGGGCCCCGTCCTTCTTCGCCAGCAGCCCCAGGTGGGCGACGTGCCCGTCATTGAGCCGCATCCCCTTCTGCATCCTGCCGGCACCGCGCTCACATGGCCCCCGCCGCGGGCGGGGCCGCGCCGAGCCACCCCCGCCGCCCCCGCGGTCCCCGCGGTCCCCGCAGCATCAGCGGCCCCCGCTGCCCCCGGGGAGCCGCCGGGCGCTCATCCCGCGGGCCCCGCTGAGCCCCGGCTGTGCCGCTGAGCCGAGCCGAGCCCCGGCTGTGCCGGTGAGCGCCGCGTCCCGCAGCCGCCGCTCCGAGCCCGCACGGGCGGGGCGAGTGACGGCGGCGGCACCGGGGACCGTGAGCGCCGAGCGGAGCCGAGCGGAGCCGCGGCCCTCCTGCTCTGCCTCCCTCTCTTTCTCTCTCTCTCCCTCCCGTGCCTCCTTCCTTCCCTGCCGCCGCTGCGGGGGTGGTCGCGCCGCGCTGCGCTCGCCGGGGCCGCCCCCGGGCCGCGGGATGCCGGGGCCGCCGCCAGCACCGTCACCGGCAGCACCGGCAGCGCTGCGCTCCCACCGCGGGGGAACCCCGCAGAGAGAGAGAGGGACCCCCAGACCGAGAGAGAGGGACCCCCAGACCGATAGAGAGAGTGACCCCCAGACCGACAGGGACCCTCGGAATCCTACCCATGGCTGGAGCCCCCAGGCACAGGCAGAGCTGAGAGATTCCTCCAGACACAGAGACCCCCGGGCAATGGGACCCCAGGAACAGCCAGAGCCTCAGGCCAGGAGGGACCCTAGACCAGATGGGAGGACCTTGAGGCAAGTGGCAGCACCAGGCAGGGCAGAGGGACCAGTTTCTCCATTTATTTCCATTTGTCTCAGTCTTGATCCCTCTTCTCCATCCTGGCCTGGTGTGCTCTGCCGAGCAGGGCCAGGCTGGGCAGCCTGGGCACTGGGAGGATCGGGCACAGGCTGCAGGGAAGGGAATGCCCTGGTGCCCCCTGTACCCCAGGGGCTTTTACAGCCAGGAGTGCTGGGGCAGCCAGGTGCCACAGTGAGGGGCACCGAGTGTGACACCTGCAATGTGACATGTCAGTCCTGCGGCAGAGGCAGCCCTGACCTGAGCCCCAGGTGTGACAGACCCCTGCAGACAGGGAGGACAGCAGCACGACCCTGGCCATTGCCTTCATTTCTGCTGAAAATGCTGGCGGAGCTCCAAGGAGCCCAGTGAGGTCACAGGTTGCCATGGGAACGGGAGGGAACAAGCTGGAATTGGGAAGGGTGCCGGGATGGAGCCGCTTGGCCTGGGATTGCGGGCACACGTGGCCAGGGCCACCTCGAGGGACACGGCCCGAGGCCTCTGTCACCGGGTCAGCGCCAGGGAGGGGACGGGGCCACAACGCGCCCCAGCCCCGCTGCAGAAATCACCTCAGTGTTGACACTTCTTAACGTCAGAGCTCTGGGACTGTGATCATGCGATGCAGAATTGTTCCAGCAGCCCTTTGAACCGCTAAGCTGTTCCCTGGGAATCTCAGCACCAGGGATGACAGCCTGGTAATTTATGCCAGCAGCTCTCAGTCGCTCCCGAGCCCATGGAGAGGGCTCTGCCACCACTCCTGGCTCCTGCCAGGGCTGCCTCTTCCTCTCCTGAGAGATGGAGGGGAAGATTTGCGTCCCCACCCTGCACCCAGCCAGGCCTTGCTGGGCTCCTTCCAGAGGCACAGCAGCACCCAGGGTGTCACACCTGCCTCCCCACGGCACTGAGGTGACCCCAGCCTGCCTCAGGCATCCCCACACAGCCCTGATGGCCAGGGGGACAGCCTGGCTCCTGGGCTCGCCAGTGCTGGGGGTCTCTGAGAGCTCTGTGCATCTCAACTGGCCACAGCTGTCCCTGTGCCACCCTGCTCCCCTGGGACAGTGACACGACACCTGCCCAGCCCAGCAGCAGCCCCTGGTACCCGGGCACAGAGAGCAATCATCTCCATTCCGGGACAGGGTAGGCAGAGGGCAGAGACACCGAGCACCCCACTGTGGAGCCACTGTGCCACCCCAAGGCCCTGTGCCACCCCAAGCAGTGTCCCCAGGGCTGCAGGACGGTGCCCACGGCCAGGTTTGCCGTGGGCTACTGTGAGTCGTTGCCATCTCCACGCACAGCACGCCCCAGACCTCGGGCTGTGCCTGGCAGGGGCTGCCCCACACGGAGCCATGGCCAGCACAGAGCAGGGACAGGGGGGGACACCGGGGGCTCAAGGGAGCAGGAGATGTGTCCAGAGCACCCCTCGGGGCCACCCCAGCGCACCCACAGCAGGGGTTTGGCAGCCGGGCGTTTTCGGGCACTGCTGTGCTTTACCAGCCCTCAGAAGGGCTGCAGCCAGGAGGGTGCTCCAGAACCGTGTGCTGCTGCACTCTGCAGGCTGAGGTCCCTGCTGCTCCACGTGGGATTTGCCACCTGACAGGCAGAACAGCTCTGAACCCCCGGATGCCGAGGATTTGGGATTTTAAAGCTTTTTCCTGTCCCTACAGGCACGAGGTATCACCAGGCCCAGCCATCCCCATGTCTGACTGTATCACCCGGCTCCAAGCTGGGCTGCTGGCACGGCTGGATCACCTTGGACAATCTGTCCTGGGGCTGGACACGCCGTGTCCGAGCAGGTAATCCCCAGGGCCACCAGGTAATCCCCAGGGCCACCAGGTAATCCCCAGGGCCACCAGGATTAGCCTGGGGGAGCAAGGCCAGTGCTGCAACTGCTGCCAGCATTCCTGGGAAGAGCCCTGCCGGGTTCCTGCACACCAAAGTCTGTGGCTAATTAAGGATTTAATATCCAAATCTCTGGAACTGACTCATTGCTTACTGTTACCAAGAAATCCTTTCTCCCTGTCTCTCTACCAGCCAGTTGGGAACACAACAAAACACTCGGGCACCTGCTATGGGTGATGGCTCAGGGAGCTGCAGGAGCCTCAGGACCTGGGCTGGGGGTGAGACAGGTCCTGTGTGCAGCTGGCACTCACACCTGGTGCCACAGGGTAGCACACGGGGTCACTCACTGAGCTCTTGTCCAGTTGCTGCAGGGCCAAGGCTGCACAGTCACTCCCAGTTTGAGCAGCTCACAGGGCACTGGGATTATCCCCAAGGGCAGGGTGGGGAGCCCAGGCCACAGCACGGCCGTCCCACATCCCTGCCAGAGCAGGGACAGGCCCCGCTCTCCTCGTCCCCACTGTGCCAGCAAAGGGCACAAACACGGGCAGGGAACGGCGAGTTCAGGACCCGGCAGAGGGACCCAAGCTCTGCCCTGGAGCCCAGCAGGAAGAAAGTGCTGAAGTTTGGCAGCCGTGCCCGGGTCCCACGTTGCAGTGGGATTTGCTGCAACAGATTCCCATCAGTCACAGGAGAGCGCTGGATTTATTTTTAAACAGATTAAGCATCTGTGCTGACAGAGCACATCTCGGCACCGGCCGGGCAGCGAGCAGTGCCCGCAGGGAAGAGGCACCGGGAAAACCCCGGGAAGGCAGTGGCCGAGCTTGGCTGGCTCAGAAATGTTTTAAGATCATTTGAAGGCAGATGTGAGTGTCCTGTCAGGGCTCAGTGACACCAGGACTCCCAGGGCTCGCTCTGGCAGGGCTGGCACGGCCGTGGGTGCGGCTGCCGGGCACCGGGGGATGTTTCCCTGTCCATCATAGAAACAAACAAAACAAAACATTTGCTAATTCAGGGAGATTCTTCTGGATAAGGCAAATTAATCAGCTGTGATTCAGTCTCCTGCTCTCTCTGGGACAGGCAGGTTGGGGATTAGGGAGCTGATGGGAACACTGTGGGGATCAACTAGGGCTCAGCTGCCTGGGAGCCACGGGCTGCAGCACTTGGGGCAGCAGAGGATCAGGCACAGCCTCGTTCAGGTGTTCTAACGATCCCAGAAATAGCCAGGAAACATTCAGGAGATGGTTTGTTTAGCTCCCATTCCCTGGCATTTCCCTCCAATGCCTCCCGTGCAGTTCGAAGGGAGATGGAATATTTTTCCTGTGTTACTGCTGGATCCATCATTCACTAAAAATAAAGCTGACTTTCCTGCAGCGGGTAAAAACCAGAGATAAAAATCCCCATGAATACTTCATCAGGCTGCCTGCTTTCCCATGGATTTTCTGTCGCCAGGAGAGCGTTTCCAGCAGCCGCTGGTGCCTGGAAACCAGGACTGGGGGGAATCCAAATCAATCACGTCTGAAAGAGGGAATTTTCTACTAAAGCCTACTGCTCCCGGTGACATTATCCATGTACGAGCTCTGGCAGCAGCTGGAGGGAGGGTTCTACCCCAGGACAGAAAGGAGGGCTCAGGGACCAGGGCTGGGACACCCCAGTGCCTTCATCCCCCCCATCTGGAGGAGGGAGGATATACTGGAGACATAGGGCAAGGAAAAGCAGCAGGACGATGACAATTTGGCAGGGAAGATGCAGCTCTGAAGGTGCAGGAAGCTGGGGGAGCTCAGGGACACCGGAGGCTCTGCAGGCCGTTCACAAAGGAGGTTTGGAGAGGCGATCCTGCCGCAGGGGTCAGCGCATCCTCCCCTTCCTGGAAAGCTGCACCTCCTGGTCCCAGCTCAGGGGAGCCTCTGGCCCCTGTCCCGTGTCCTGGGGTTTTCCATCTCACCACATCGCTGGGGACACAGCACAGAAGGAAGAGATTCCCCCTAAAATAAGGCTGGAAGACCAACATCCTCACTGCCTCGTGTCTGCCTGAGCAGACACTGAATCATCCCGCGAGCTGGTATTTAAAATAGCAGAGCTCCTGTTTTTAGCAAGAGCATTGCTCAGCCCTGAGAGGAGGAAGAGGCTGTAGGGGATCCGCTCTCCGCCTCGCTGTGCACGGCCGGGCACGGTGGAGGCACCAAAGGCGGTGCCAAAGGCTCCCCGAGGGCTTTGGGGCACGGCTCCCGCACCCTCCGGCCCCGCTCCGGGGCTGCTGCCGCTCGCTGGAGTCACCCGAGTCACTGGTGTCACCAGAGGCACCGGTGTCACCCCCGGCGCTGTCCCGGGCCGGCCGAGTGCCGGTGCCGCGCTGCAGGGACAGGTACGGCTCGTCCTGCCTGACCCAGTTAGC